TGCAGTTTCCTTCAGCTCCTTTTGGACAGACTAGGAAAACCAGAAAGAAGTCTCAGGGTCTCTCCTTTCTCCTCCCACATCTCTCCATGTGCTTTCTGAGTCCTCAGATAGTCCTGTTAAGTTCCTCATTAATAATGATGAATGATTGAATAAACATTCATTCAATTCATTCATTCATGCTCATTATAAGGTACGTTGCTCTGTCATATTTATTGGTAAAATTATGCACCATGCACGATGCCTACCTGGCACATCCCAGGTGTCAATAAACATTAGTTGAATACAAATCAATTAAGTGAATGGACAAAGAAAGGAACACACTCTCAATGCCTGTTGCTGTAAGACACTGCAAGTTTAAAGAAAAAATTATGGCCTGCCAAGTAAATCACACACATAAATATTGCGACTGATATCAGGATGTTAAACATTTTGATCTAGAACACAGGACTAAGGAACCCAGAGGGCTGTGCCCTGCAGAGAGCACAGAAAACAAAGAGAACTCTTCGGAAACTTCTCAGCTTTGTCAGAAGGTTCTGTTTACCATCCGCTGGGAGGAGACGAACAGCAGCTTGGTGGAAATATGTTTGTGTTTGGTGCCAAGACGCAGAGTTCAGTTTCCAGGAATTTTTGGTGATTTAGTATATGATTTAAACATTCTTACACAGAGTTCTTTTTTCCATTCAATGATCTTTGTCACCATCATGGCCTTCTGAAAAAGACCATTAAGTCTGTCTGAAGGCTAGGAAATACAAAATTTAGCTTAGCCCTAGTACACTGCTGGTGGGAATGCAGACTGGTGCAGCCACTGTGGACAATAGTATGGAGTCTCCTCAAAACATTAAAAATGGAACTGCCATTTACCCAGTAATCCTACTTCTGAGAATATATCCTAAGAAACCCGAAATACCAATCAGAAAAAATGTATGCACCCCTATGTCCATAGCAGAGTTATTTATAATAGCTAAGATGCAGAAACAGCCCAAGTGCCCATCAGTGATGAGTGGATAATTTTAAAATTTGCAAAATAACATATAAGCCCATATCTGTTCTTTGAAATATCATCCTACCTTATGGAAATTTAATAGGCAAATACAAAAAGTAGAATCAAATTATAAATCTACTTTTCTAGAAGATGCCATACATTTTCTGGAGGAGAACTTACAAATTAACATTATATAGAAAAAAAATCCTTGAATATTCTGAAAATGTGTGCTCTGTCTTGCTTTCTAATTGTTTCCATTTCACAAACTTTGATAAAATATGTGTCTCTGCCAAATATGCGTCACTATGTATTTAGCTAATCAGCTAATACTTAATAATTCAATACTAAATTGTTGTATTACTTTTCTCTGTTAATTTATTGCAGCAAAGATATATTTTTTTTTCTCTATAAGTAAAACCTTCTAAGCTTTCTATCACTTCTACCCCAGCATCTAAGATATGTTGAGGTGATGAGTGGTCAGTGATAATGAGAAGAGGAGCAGGCAGGGTGGAGAGAGGAAATAGAACAGCAAAACAGGTGCTTAAAAAATTCAGGACAACAGCCTAGAGCCCAGCACCCGAGCTCTAGACTCGTTCTAACACTGACTGATGAGGGCATCAGTTCACTTCATTCATCTCTAAAATGAATGAGATGAATTTAGTTCTTTCTAATACTCCCATGGCTGTGAAATATTGCACTACTTACTTTCTGTGAGGTAAGACCTCTCGTCCTTTCACCAGAAATGCCTAACTAAAAAAATAATAAGCTATCACTATTTTATTTACCCCCAATGTCACTAGCTCTAAGCATCATCTCCAGTTGCATCCTGGGAAGACCACAAGCCCCAGAGATGCCTTAAAACTGGCATCTTCCACATCCCAGAGGGATCCTGGGCTGCCCACTCACTCACATCCCTGTAAGGGCTGCACTGCATGTTTCACCAATGAGGCCTGCACATGTCTACGTCGTAGAGCAGCCTGGCCGGCTTTTGACCTGACTTGGTTATTATTTGAAGCAGTTTACTGACACTGCCAATAGCATCACACATAACTGGACATGCGTCTGTCACTGAGCCACAGATAGCGCCCGGGAGCAGAAAGGATCCAGGACATACAGACTTAAAACATAAACGGCTCCAACAGAGTCGCTACCGCAGGGTCTGCAAGGAGCAATGCAAATGGCTTGTCTGAGGTTCCACAGCCACATTTTAAGACTCTTCAATGGCTGGTGCCGTGGCCTCACTTTTAAAAGCCTCAGTCATTTCTCAAGGAATCGCACTGAACAAAAGGCCACATCTAGTTGCCCCCCACATCAAGATGTAGCCTAATATTACCGAATCTGTTTAGGGCATAGAAATCAAGCAGGCCTTCCAGAGGTTGGGGAAAAAAAGAGAAAAACAGCCTTTTAGCATGAGTAGGTCCCACTCTCATCTGAAGCTTGTACTGTCCTTTTCAATCGCTGCAGAGAAACAATTAATAAAGGAACCCATTAAGAGCTGATTATTGCTGCGAAAAAAGGAAGGTAGGGTTTCAGCCCTTTGAAGTAACTGAGAATGATTCAGGCCTCATTACAGAGATATAATCTACATTCATACATTTATGTTAGTGATTCAAATCTATTGGGAGAGATTGAATTCCGTTAAATAGAGCATCTCTCCTGCTGGACTTTTCTCAGGCTTTCTCTAGCTAACCCAAGAGGTGACCTAACAATGCCGGCAGCGGAGTATTTAGGGATTCGGCTGCGCTAGGAAAGAAAGGCTGTACAGAAAAGAAAAAGAAGAATGAGATATAATCTAAAAAGCTATGTCAGCTTTTCCTTTGGGCTGTTTTGTAAATGCCCTTCCTGTCATCGCGCTGCACAGAAAGGCGGAGAAAGGGCTCTAGAAGTTTTAAATAGCGCACCTGCTGGAAACAGCTTTTAATATGGAAGTTTTGAGGGCGTGTGTTTCCCCATTTCAAACAGAATAAAATAAGGAAAGCTCTACTTTAAAGATCTGAATAGCTTCTTCCACTGGTGCAGAAATTGGTAGGGGAAGAGAGAGAGGGGAGGAGAGAGAGGGACTCCCTTTGGGGTGGGGGTGGGGTGTTTCTTGTAAATAAATAAAATAAAAAAAGAGATCTCAAGTGGCATAAATAATGTTGATGCCCAGTGTAGAGAAACCTCAGAATAATAACTTCTTGTGTTTTTTAACTTATCACGACAGAATTTTTATTGTATGGTTTCATCAAACATCATTTTTTAGAAAACATGAAGTTTTAGTTAGTTGTCAATTCAAACATTTGGATTCTGCGGAACAATTGGGCTGAGACTCCAGTCCCTTCGAAACACCACCCTTTCTCTCAGGCATTTGTCAGCTCAAGTACAAAACTGTGAACTAGAGAATTGAAATTAGCACTGAGTTCATTTTTAAATATCCGTGCTGTCCTGAAAGAACAAGATTTGTTTGACGTATGCTCTTTATTTGCCTAACCCCTCAATTAAAAGCTACTGAAATCAGAGCTAATTATATTAAATTTTAAAAATTAAAGTGTGGTGCTCACCATATTGTCAAAATCTTCTGACTGTGCATTGCAATGGGCTATAAATAATGCAATTAGCATCTTTGATTCTGGCATTCAGTGGTGCTCTTTCAAAGGCTCCGAGTGTGCAGGGAAATATAAGGGCATGCGTGTAAAGTCACTTTTCAGGTCGCTAAACAACGTAACTGGCAATCATTCCCGATGCCCATCTCAGAAGCAAGATTTTTAACTTCTCTGCATCTTCTATTCACAATGAAGACTGAGGCCAACTCCACCTTACAGGGATTCAGGCTCATTTGTACAAACACAAGCTCTTCTGACTAGTTCCCTCTAAATCATAGTAGTAGAGGTCAAACTCTCAAGTTCAGCTTGAAGTTACTCTTCTTCCAAGAATAGCAGTGTAAATATTAGGTGGGACCATATGAAGTTGCCAGTTTAGGGGGGGGGGTGAAAACCCATAAAAAATTGGCAATTTCATGTTTCAACCTGATACAAATGTTCAACTGCTTTACAGAATAGGAATATATGCTACCAATACGTCGTTAGCCACTCCTTCCAGGCATACTGGAAGTAATCTTTAAAGTAATCCTTAAAGCTGTGATCCCATAGGAACTGTCTCTTACTGACTGGGACAGAGGATCACAGTCTTTCTTTTTGTGACTCTGAATTCTTATCCAAAGACTTGCCCACTGAGGACTTGGTTAGGACGTTTCCCTGGGTTTCGTGCAAGTTTCTGTTAGCGATGAGGGAGTTGTGGGGCGGTGGGTGTGAGAAAGACAGAGAGTGGTCGTGCAGTTACATTGTAAAACAGAGCCCTTTAAACTTGAAGATAGAGACAAGAAAACGCCCCTTTATGGCAAAGTGCGGAGGAAATTGCATGGAAAAGAGCACAGCGGAGTCGTGGCCAACTTGTGTGGTTAAACCTGCGCCATCTCCATAAAGTGCGTTTGCTTTGAAGTGTAAGCGGGATTCAGCAATTACAGGTCCGTCACTGGGGTCCCCGATTTCATTTGCGCCCAGAGAGGAGGCTTTGAAGGGTGACGATAAATCTCCCTGAGCTTAAAAGGCGGAGAGGGCCAACGTGTGAACTCTTTACTTCGCCAACGGAAGGGAGAAATCAGAGCTTCATTAACGCGGAGACCTCCTTGGACGCTGGCAGAGAGGAGGACAGGAAGCTCATTAGGTCTCCCTTTCCCCTGCTCGCTGCGACCGACCTGTTTACAACCCGCTGCTGGTCCGGAGGGTTTGTCCTCAGCATCTTCTTTCTCCCCCAGCCCTCCCTCCTCCTGGGAGCCAGAGGGGGAGGGAAAAAGTCAGCCAAGCACCAGGCTCCAGGTGGCTCTCAAGTACTTCGCTGCCAAAAGGGAGAAAAAAAAACCCTAGGCTGGAAAACAAGTGAGAAAGGGGCTCCCCGGAGGGGACTGGTTCAGGCTGGGAGGCAGCAACATTGGGAAAGCCCGAGGGAGGACACGGCCGGGCTGGTGGCCCGCGCAGGGAGCGCAGGGGCGCCTTCGCTGCAATTCGCCGGAGCTGGAGGCGCAGCGGGCGGAGGCTGCACGGCCGGGGCGCGGGGAGAGGACCCGCCGCCCCCCAGACCCCCAGCCCGCGGAGGCAGCTGCTCCCTGCCCCTCGCGGCCGGCTCCCCACTCTCGGCCCCCTCCCTCCGCCCTCTCGCTGGCGTTCCCAGCAGCCCGGGGTTTCAGATGTCCCACCGCCGCTTGACCCCCTCCCCCTGCCTCTCCACCCTGCAAATGAGGTTTGACCAGCAGAGGCAGAGCCCCCCTCTGGCTCAGAATCCCTGACATTTCGACTCGGCTTCAACCTGTTTACAAGCCGGCTCTGCAGAGGAGGGGGGAGGGCCACGGGGCTCAACAAAACACCACCGCCGTCCCCCCGAACAAGAAGCGACTTTCTGCGGGCTTCCCATCCACCGGCGCCGCCAAAAAGAGAAAGCGAGAGGGAGAAGCACCGGCGGCGAGGCGAGCGGGCGCCGGCCCCCAGCGCTGACACCCGGAGGCGCGCGCGGTGCTGCCGTCTAGGGGCTGGGCTCCGCGGACAGGGGCCCGAGGGCGCGTCCCCGGGCGCGCAGGCTCTCCCCAGCCTCCCCCGGCCCCGTGGGTTTTGTTCACCGGCTGTCATCTGGTTTTTTTAGACTGGTTTTTTTTCCATCTAACATGGTGAAGCAAGGAGTGAAGAGGAGAACAAAGTAACTCCTGGGGGAGTGAAGGTCGCTGGGGACCAAGAGCACCCGCGCTACTGCGGCCACCCACGGCCACCCTTCCCCCGGGGACGGCAGGGGCGCACGGCGGCGGCGGAGCCCGAGGGGACCGGGACGGGGGCGAGGAGAGGCGGCGGCCCTTGCGAGGAGTTATGGATGGTGGTGCATTCAGTTCTGGCCAGATCCGCTCCCGGAGGAGGCAGCTAAGCGGCGGCCGCCACCTCCAGCTGTCTCCCTGCCTCGCACCGGGTCTCACCCTTCCAGCATGTTCCTTCTGATAAGCCCCTTCCCAGCGCCGCGAGTTCCAGTACAATGTGGAAATGGGAACTGACACATGGTGCCTCCGCCTCGCCCCACCTGCCCGGCCGCTGCTGCTGCTGCTTCTTGCTGCTCTTCCTGGTGTCTTCCGTCCCCGCCACCTGCCAAGCCCTTGGGCAGGACATGGTGCCACCAGAGGCCACCAACTCGTCTTCTTCGTCCTCCTCCTTCTCCTCCTCTTCCTCCTCCTCCTCCTCCTCCTCGTCCTCCTCCTTCTCCTCTCCTCCCAGTGCGGGGAGGCATGTGCGGAGCTACAACCACCTCCAAGGCGATGTCCGCTGGAGAAAGCTCTTCTCCTTCACCAAGTACTTTCTCAAGATCGAGAAGAACGGGAAGGTCAGCGGGACCAAGAAGGAGAACTGCCCCTACAGTAAGTAACCAGGCGCGCTGTCTCCCTCCGTCACCCACCCCCACCCGCGGGGGGAAATCTGTTCCAGATGTGGCCAGCTAAATATTTACGTCCCCAACCCCTGTAAAATGATTAAGTGGGATACTTTCACACTAAATCACACCCCCCCCCCCGCCCCGTGTATACATTGTGCTGCCTCACCCCTCCCCGCGGGGTCCCTCCACACACACCCCTACGCCTGGTCACCCTACACGCCCTGTCTCTGGGCTCGTCACCAGGTGGACACCCCGGAGTTGTTGCTGCGCACCGATGCCCCTCTCTGTCTCCATCGCCCTGCCCTACCTCACCCCAAGGTCCCCTTCCCCTCCCTGCTGGAAATGGCTCAAGTAAACACTGTGTTTCTTTTCGCTGGCAATCTTATGAAGAGTTTTGGGACAGTTTCCTCAAGCTGAAAAGAATTAGCTGCTGTCAATTATCCGGGTTTTATGGAAACTTTATTTAAGAAAGGAAAGTCCATTCCCCTTGCTCCTACCCCCATCCCGTTACCCCACCATCTCTCTAGATAGGAGCGGTAGCATTTTTCTGGCTTTGATTTTTTTTGGGGGGTGGGGGTGGGGGGGTGGGGGGAGCGGGGGTGTCGCCCATGTTGCCTTGAGTGATTGCAGTCCATGAAGTTGGCTTTTCCGGCACTACCGCTATTAGTCCCGGGCCTGCCTTCTCTCCGGGTAACATGATGCTCATGTCTGCGTTGTCAATAGCATATGCGCTGCTTTGTGGTGTCCTGTTGTACTGTTTCTTCTGAAACCTCTCATATTGCAGAGCCCGACTACTACAGCGTTGCGAACATCTGGGGCTGGATTCGCACAGACCTCACACAAATTCCATTGTCATCCTTCTATTTTCAAAGTAAAAGTCATAAGTCCGTTTCCATGGCTGTCGTTTATCCCCTAGCTAGGATGCGGTTTTTCTCCTTCGCGCACCCTATGCCCTGGATGTCTGGACTTCTTTCCCTTTCCCCCCTTTCTTTCTTTCCTCCCTTAGCTCTTGTTCTTTCTTCCTTGCAGGGGTGTGGGCTGGGAGGGGGCGGGAGAAGGAGAAGAGGAGAGTGGATATTGTGTCTCTTCTTGAATCAGTCCAGCAAAGCAGATTACTCTGTTGGCTTCCTTTCCTAGTTACTTTCAAGTGGTGAGACTTATTCATCCTCTATTGATGGCCTTTTGAAAGGATCCTTAGGCTATGTAATGGCACACTGAAGATAGTAGACAAAGACATTTGAACATCTTTAATGACCATTTAGCATTATCTCAATGGTACTCTCAAGTCACCTTTTTAAAGGGACCTTTTTGTGTCAGTTGTTTGGGAATTTGAAACATTATTTGCCAGCTAACTTAAATTCATGGGTCATACATTTCAAGATTCCTTGGCCCAGAAAGTATCTGGTAGGAATGGGGAAAGATAGTTAACCAGAACTTAGCATTTTCTTTTTAAACAAAGATGGACAAGAATGAAGACTTAGTTTTCTTGTTTGGGGACTCACATACATTCAACATTAACTTCTATTCCTCCTCAGCTGCTGCTTCCATTTACTAAAATTAGCAATATGTTTACAAGTAATGATATTTGTAGAAGGATTCTTAAGTGTTCCATTTTATGTTTAATACTAAAGATGCTAAAAGCCCATTGCCTATATATTTTTTCATTCTGATTTATAGAAAGCAGGTGGAATGTCACTTATGATAGATTTTTTTTTTCAATTGTTACCTGAATTAACTAGAAACTATATATACATGTTTTAGTTGATGAAAATTTAATTCCTTTGTTGACTTCTAAAACAACAGTTGTGCTGTCATCTAGGTAGGACCAGGGGGAAGAAGTGGTCCAAACAATTACTGAGGAGTGAGCTGAGAAGTTAAAATAAATAATATTCATGGCCTGAAATTCCTCTTCATATTTTTACTTCAGGAAGATAACTCAAAGAAATATCAGACAATTTTAGACTGCTACCCTTGAGCAAACTTTCTCCTCCTCCTCCTCCTCCTCCTCCCCCTCCTCCTCCTCCTCCTCCTCCTCCTCCTCCTCCTCCTCCTCCTCCTCCTTCTTCTTCTGACACTAACTTGATTTTGCTATTGCTATATTTTAAGTGCCTTTATGATGTGATGCAAGGACCAACCCACACTAGCTTAGTTATGCAACTTAAATGACTATTTTCTGAAATAATGATCACTGTGTGATTAATGGTTTAGTAAAATGATTTCCAGAGTACAGGTTGAATTATATTTTTATAGTAAAGAATTATCTACAAAGAGAAAAGTATACAACTTCATTGCATAGAAACGAGTGTGGAAATGTTTTATTCTAACTGTCCAAATATATTAATATCTCTTCCAAATGATAAAGTATACTCATAGCCCTTGTGAAAATTAAAGTATCCTATGTCATAATGCAGTCTTAATCAGTGGTTGAAAATGAAAGGGGGGGGCGGGTCTTACTCTGTTAAATAAAGCCATAAATAATTTAGGCTTTCCAAGAACATCTGTATGAAAGCATAGCACGTGAAAAGTAGAGGTTGGGAAAGCCTTAATTTCACATGTGGCCAGGTAATCAGAATGCTGCTACAAATCCCAGCTGGACTGATTCAGCTGAACTACATGGTATCATTAAGATATTGTCTAAATGTTGCATAATTATATGTGAACAAACTTTTGCAATGCCTACAGGGTAACCAGCCAGCCAGCCCAGCAAATGGTAGCCTGTTAAATATTAGGGTATCTAACCTCTGAAGAGTGTCAGTTCCTTGTCCAAAAACCACATTTCAGTAACATTTTCCTAAGCAAGTTATTAATTATTCTCAACACACAAAGCTGTTCTTTTGAGGTTTGCTTATTTGAAGCTTAATTTTCTTTGTTACTTTTGACCCTAATGTTAAGGCTGCTAAAATACAGTAACAGCTTATCTAAGAGGTTACATGTTTGTGATGTCCTGGATAATTAAACAACCGTTTTACTGGCTTGTTGCCAGCAAAATGCTAACAAAAGGGAAGTAAGGGAATCACCCTTAAGCATTGCAAAATCAATTTTAGCTTCTACCTCCAAAGCTGGATCCCAGAAATTAGATGGTTCTAAAAATATTACATGTGCTAAAGAAATTCTTCTCAATTTGGGTGATAATTATAATTTGGGGGGGGGGGATATTTTCTTTTCTTTTTGGCCACTTAGGATAGCAGAATGAAGGAGAGCAGAGATGAATTATGTTTCTCCTGTTAGAAGTCTGAGAAAGCTTGAATAATTTAGAATAGCTGTGGTGTATCTGTCACTAGACATGCTCAGGCTCATTTAGGTTTGTTTTATCAGTCTTTACATCTAGAGCTTTGCCCTTGAAACATTACCACTCGGCTCCAGTTCTGGCCTCCTGGAAAGGCTGGATACAGCTGTTAGGTACCCTTGCAACTGGGACTGGTGGACTTATTTCTGGACATAAATAAAACAGCTGTGGCCTGCTCCCATGGTTGTCACTTGCAGAAAAGGGGAGTCTAGTGTAAAGAAAATGAACCCTAGATATGAGACAGTGAATGATGGATATTCTCAAAATGGAATATGAGCCCTTCCAGAAAAGGAATATGGGATACAATAGAAAAATCCGTATGCACTGACTGTGTAGTATGTGCCCTATTTCTTTAAGTCTATATTTCATTTAACACTCATAATCGTCCTATGATTTAAATATAACTACACACATTTTTTGAATATGAAAACTAAGCCTGAACAAAAGTAAATTACCCAAGGTCGTCAACTTGAAATTGGCAGAGCTGGGATTCAAGTCTATTGGGTTATATCCCTCCTTGTTTTTTCTACCTCTCTGCTACTAAAAACACTGATAACAACATATTAGAATTAGACACCCCAGACCCTAAAAAACAAATTACCCAAAAACGTAATTGCTATGAATACCTACAGTTCTCCAGAGTGAAATAGGAACGGTAGTAAAATGATGGTGGAACCGAAATGAACTATATCAAAGGCATCACTGCAGGTGGCTCCCTGGTATCAGGCTCTGTTAGGGCATCCTCCAGGTGAAATGCCTTTTTTGATACTATGTTTGGGAATATAATTGCTTCTGGGTACACAAAATACACATACATCAATCTCACTCATTTCAACAGAGGGCATTAGAAATACATGACTACTTAAGAAAACTCCATGAATGTCATTGTATGTAGTAATTGTTTACAGCTGAGGGCCAAATGTTTAATTGCTTCCATGTGTAATAAAATAATTTGATTGTAAATACCAGTATAAAATTGGGCTGTTGCAGAAACGTTGGGTATATGACCCTAAAGCAGCGGTTCTCAACCTGTGGGTCGCCAACCTGTGGGTCGTGACCCTTTAGGGGTCGAACGACCCTTTCACAGGGGTCGCCTAAGACCATCGGAAAACACATATATAATTACATATTGTTTTTGTGATTAATCACTATGCTTTAATTATGTTCAATTTGTAACAATGAAAATACATCCTGCATATCAGATATTTACATTATGATTCATAACAGTAGCAAAATTACAGTTATGAAGTAGCAACGAAAATAATTTTCGTTATGGTTGGGGGTCACCACAACATGAGGAACTGTATTAAAGGGTCATAGCATTAGGAAGGTTGAGAACCACTGCTCTAAAGGGAGGAAATCTTAAGAGTCCTGAAGATAGATAGACAGATAAATAGATGATTAGATAGATAGATGATAGATAGATAGATAATAGGTAGATAGAAAAAGCTTTTAAATGAGTGTGCAAATCAAAAAGTCACTTTACCACATAAAAATGAAAGATTACTGTCTAGGATTAAAGGCTTGTATAATTACTTTTTAATCAAGATGGGAGCTTATTATAGGAAGTTCAATAAAGTGAGAAGATAATTGTTGAGGAAAATAGGGACTCAAATATTATCTCCTAAAAATAATACAACAGTTTCCTGGGAAGAAAGCCAGTATTCAGCTTAAGGCTTCCACCAGTGTCTTATTTAAGA